TAAGCTTACTAAGTCTCGAAAACAATAAAGTTAAGGACATGTCACAACCTAACTCCAAATGTGGGAGGGAGACTAAAAAGATGAAAACAAAAATAAATAAAAATAGAATTAAGAAAACAAAAAAGAAAATGGGGGTAAAACTTAAATGGAAATAAAGAACTAACAACAACCCAATAAAATACATTTAAAGATGATATTGTTCAAATTTATTATAAAGGAAAAAATGGGTTTGAGATAAAATTACAAAAGGTACAAAAGACTCAAATACAAGGTTGATTCTCAACCCGGAATGACCTCTTTTGTAGCCGTACAGCTCTCAAATGTCATTCCACCTAAATCGGCCGCCTGCGATGCCCTACTACTATAAGTATGTATGACGGGATTGCTTCCCTTATAATTATGATTATTCAATGCTCACTAATTAATAACTTCTCAAAGGATGACGATCAACTTCCATGATTCTAACTACTTAATATTCGACCTTGAAGCTTATTCACTCACATTCCATACAACATTCCATACATATTATCAACCAACCACATAACTAGCATATATAAGTCAATCAATATCTAAGTGCCTAATCCTAGAACTTTTAAGAAAGAAAAAGAAATCCATGTAAATGAATGGACATAAGGAAAAAGTTGGAGGCATTACCTAGGGCAAATCAATGAAAAAAATCAAAATCAAAATCAAAATCAATCAAAAAATGTGAAAGGAGAAGCCGATCACAACGACGTAGAATAGAGTGAAAGAATTTATTGTGTTAGTTTTTTTCTTTTTTCTTTTAATGTAATGTCAGCACTTAGGACAATCGAAAAAAACTTCACTATCAATAATGGAAGTAAGGGTATACGTTGAAGCCGACAATCCAAACCGACCCAACCCAAATTATAAAAGTTGAGTTAGATTGAATTTGCATCAAAATTATAATCAAAATCAAAACTATCAATCTCCTAAATACCATTTCTTTGCACTTTCAAACAAAAAAAAAATATATATATATAAGAATTTAATTAGATTTTGCATATCAAATTTGAAAGGTTTCAATAAAAAGAATAGAACTTACAAAATCATCCTTCATGATATACTCTTTGTTTTGTTTTGTTTTGTTTTTTTTTTTTTTTTTTTTTTTTTTTTTTTTTTTTTTTTTTTTTTTTTTCCTCTTCAATTATTTTGTTTAAAGACCATGCTTTAATTTAGAAGGAATGAAAGAATACAAAGGGCATGCAAAAGGTCTTACTAAAGAGCCAAACTAAAACAAAAAAGGGATCCAATATAACAAAATAAAACCTAAAGAATAATTGAAAAAGTTATTCCAAAGTAAAATATTAAACCTTACTAGAGACCAGACGTCCTCCCCCAGTCTCTCAAACTCCCTAAAAGCTCTATTGTTTCTCTCAAGCCAAAGGTGCCACATAATCACACAAGCTCCAGCACGCCACAAAAAGGACCCTTATCTTGAAAGGCGGAGGGAAGAAGGAACTCCTATACTGTGGAGCTATACTCTTCGGATTGAATCCTATAAGCACCAAATATCTAGAAAAAACAATTCTAATCCGAAGAGGCAAACTGGTAGTTTCCAAAAGTGTGATGAAGATCCTTTGTCGACCTCCTATAAAGGATACACTACTGTGGTCTTGTAGAAAACTTCCTCGTGATACTATACAAATAATTAACTATGTCGTAAAGGACTTACCACACGAAAAGCTTAAACTTAGAAAATCTTGTTGAATTATGGCACAAGAAAAATGTCTCCCTTGGTTAAATGGATTTGGTTCTCTTATATTGAAAATGAAGCCCTTTAGAGAGATGAGTTACTGCAATAAAATATGGTTCTACTCACTTCAATAGTTGACCGGGTAGGGAGTCTTTATATTCCTCAATGGGCCCTTGGAAGTCTATTGAAAAATTGCTGCAGCTGATTTTCAGTCGTATTGAAGTTAGAGTGCAAAAGAGAGAGATAAGACTATGTTCTGGAAGGATATTTGGTTGGGTAAGCAAAATTTTCAATCAAAGTATCCTGTTCTTTATCATCTCACATTAAAAAAGGAGGCATTCATTGCTGATTTTGGAATTCGGATACTCAATCTTTGAATCTTTTTATGAGAAGAAACTTAAATGATGTGGAAATTAAGGAATGGACATCCTTATCCCATCTATTGTTGTCCTTCAATTTCAAGAATCAAGAGGACTGCTGGACATGGGGCTNCAACGAAATGAAGTCAACTACTCACCATGCATTATAAAAAGGTGCAACTCAATAATGGAAGGTATTAATTTGAACATTTATTTAGATTTTAAGAAAGAGAGAGAGAGTAAGAAAAGGGTTACCCTAAGGCCTAAAATGGATTAGTAATGGGCGTTCGTGCTTCTTTCCTCTCCTTTAGTGCTACCCACATCAACATTTGGTATTTGGTTGTCTTTGGGAATTAAAAGTATGTTTCATTCAAGTTTCAAATGCCTAATATATTAGCTATGTATTGTGTTTCATCCATGACATCACCTCACTTCAATTATTGTTTTATTATTGTTATTATTTAGCTTCAACATAAAATAAAAGGTATGTAGAGATTAAACAAAAATTAATTTTTTTTAAACATCCAAAGTGCATGAATCCTAAAACAAGGTTCAAATAACTAAATGATTTATTTTTATATAATTGATTATCTTATGAAAATAAAAGATTTAATTATGTCACGACTTGAATTTCGAGACTTCGAAACTCGGACCCAAGAGAAGAAATAAACTCTCGAAATACATTTAGGCTCTCATTGCATCTTTAACCCAAGAGAAGAAGTTTTACTCTAGGCTTTTGGGGAAGGTTCGATTTCGTCATTTTGTGTTCCTTTTCTTAAAGATGAGGTTTGAGGGTTTGCTTTAGGTATGGTTACAATTAAAATCGGAAGGTTGTGATAGACAGTTCAGGTATGGTTACAATTAAAATTGAACTTGGGTTTATACCGTGGCAGGGAACTATTCTACCACTAGACCACTGGTATTATTGTGAATAATATGTATTGCTAATTTTCGAGATTTGGCTTAACCACGAGGAGCTAACCTTGAACGATTTGGAAACATTTTTTATGACCTAATCCATCAAGATGCCCTAGAACCTAATATATCTCCACGACACCCAAGATGAACTACTAGAACACATAAGATCGATGATAAGACGAACATGAACTATTTGGGGAGTCACTGTATGTCTAAGATATAACCCGCACTATTAGGAGATGAGGGACCACATAAATAGCGGCCAAAAGACACACTAATACATGTAGAATATAACCCGTCTTGATAAGGGACGAGGGGCTAGACTAGTAGAGGATATGAGGAGCTACCACTATATGTATGATAACCTGCCTTGAGATGGGATGAGGGGCTACATATGAGGGTGACATGAGAAATTTCTACTGTAGGTACGACAGCCCACCTTGAGAGGGGATGAGGGATTACATCAGTAGATAGCATGAGAAATCACTATTGTGTGTATGATAACCTGCCTTGAGAAGGGACGAGAGACTACACAGGTAGTTGATTGAGGATTTACTATTGTGTGTAAAACAAAGTCGTCTAAGAGTGGACGAGAGACTACATAAGTAGTATATCGAGGAGCTACAATTGTGTGTGGAGGAAACCCACTTTGAGAGGAGACGAGGTACTACACAAATAAATTATCTCATGGTAGACACCACTGTGGTGTGAGGTACATTCAGGAGATACCTAAACTAGGTTAAACTTCTTAGAACCCTATGACGAGCTTGTGAAAACATATTAGGTTAAGGATGTAATGAGACTCTACAGGTACTTGTTGAGTATTTTATACTCACTCCTTTTCCTTTTTCTTTTTTAGATACTGGTCAAGGTGGGGAGGTGCTCAGGAATTGCGCTATCACAAGGGAGGTGTCAACCCGTGACGTCAATGTTATTTTGTACCTCTTTTGGGTTGTCGTTTGTATTTGTTTGTCTTTTATCCCTATATGGTATTGTTTGATTTTAAACCACACGCAATTTCACTGTATTTTTTTTTGTTTGTTTTTATTTATTTTTATTTTCGTTTTCTTCTTTTCGTCACAATCCAATTTGTCGAAGTCTGAAAAATCAGGTCGTGACAATACCTCTATATGATATGACATGAACACTATTTTAACATGATCACTTTAAGAATATATAACACTATTAAGCCACGTATGTATTCATAAAAGTTAGATTTATGAAAGAACAAATATATGACATGCATCATACATTTATGTCATGATTAAAGCTACGAGGACCTCATATATTTTTTGCATCGAGATACATCCCTCTTATGATGTGTGCAGACACATACATTAAGATATCTATGTATGTCATGATATTAGGCGGTCTCCTTTTTCTCCAAGACTCCAGCAGTATGAGTGTGCACTAGTTAAATAGCATGCTCAAGGGGTACGTATACGCCCACCTAGTGGGTCCATGTGAACATACGTAAACCATATCTAGAAAAGTACTACATATTCAATTTTTGGCCAGACTAAAAAGCTGAGTTCAATGAATATTGTCTATGAAATGGTAGGTTCCCACCCAGATGCATTTCCCAACCCTATACGGGTTAGTTACTATTTCTTAAAATAATCAAGCCACAAGTTAAGAGAGTTATTCTTGTTTCTCAAGTTATTATGACATTCCTTTGTAAGGATGACAAACGTGCACCAAATGCCATGGAACCAAAGCTAGAACGGTTGTATTTATGTTTAAATGGTTGCCCTTTCATTAGTTTGAGTATTTTTGTTATTTTTTTTTCCCAATATTTCCTCGATAGTCACTTTAATTTAAAATGAATTTTACAAATTAAGTTCATAACATCCTTACAAGAGCAAATCAGCCAAGCTGATACTTGTAGAAATTGGAAGAGAAACTCAAGTTTACAAAGAGAAAAAAAGTAAGAGAGAGAAGAGTGTTGCAGTGGGGAGTGGCAACAGAACATTGAATGCTACGCGGTTTCTCGCGGCTGAGAGGCGGCATTGGCATAACTTAACCTCACCCTCGCGCTTGACTTTTGGACTTCTGTCTATCTATCTGAGTATGCAATGCAATGGAATGGCTATGCCAAACTTTAATGCCCCCTTTGACTCCCTCCTCCCCTCCTCATCTTCTTCATATCTCCAAGTCAGCGTCCCAAAGCTTCTATTTATACACACCGCGACAACCCGCAATTCCCCATTTCTCACTACTCAACCAACACACTAATTTATTAAGCCTCCACTTCCAAATGGGTCGCCCTCCTTGCTGTGACAAACAAGGCGTCAAGAAAGGCCCTTGGACTCCCGAAGAAGACATTGTTTTAGTCTCTTACATTCAAGAACATGGCCCTGGCAATTGGAGGGCTGTTCCTGCCAATACTGGTAACTTCCTTACTTAAACCAGCATCTTCTTTTGATTTGTTTATAAACTCCATCTTATGTGCTTTTTTGTTTTAGGGTTGCTTCGATGCAGTAAGAGTTGCAGGCTTCGATGGACCAATTACCTTCGCCCTGGGATTAAGAGAGGTAATTTCACTCATCATGAAGAGAAGATGATTATCCATCTTCAAGCTCTTCTTGGAAACAGGTAATTTTGAAGAAAAAATTGAACTTTTTTTTTTTTTTTATTTCTCTTGGAGTGAATTTATGATGCAAGGGTTTTGATAATGGCAGATGGGCCGCCATAGCTTCCTACCTTCCACAAAGGACAGACAATGACATTAAAAACCACTGGAACACTTACCTCAAGAAGAAACTCAACAACAACAACCACCACCACCACCACCCATCTCCTGCCACCGATCTATCTGCTGCCGGCGGAGGAGATGCGAGAGGCCAGTGGGAGAGACGCCTCCAAACCGACATCCAAATGGCCAAACAAGCCCTCTCCGACGCCCTCTCGCCGGAAACCTCCAAACCACCGCCGCCGCCTCCGCCGCCGAAACCGGTGGATCCCAAAACACCTCATCACCAAATTCCGACGTATGCGTCCAGCGCTGATAACATAGCACGATGGCTGAAGGAGTGGAACAAAAATTCACCGGGGAATAATCGTCGGCGGTCGAGCTCACCGCCGGCCATGGAGTCTGGAAACTTCGGCGGCGAGCATGGCGGAGGAATTAAAGAGGTGGGTTTATCAGAATCGATTGAATCATTTCTGGGTTTTGATTCTTTTGAGTCGTCGAATTCGGATTTGTCGCCGGAGACGAGCGTTTTTCAAGGGGAAAGTGAAACGGATGAAAGTGAAGAATTATTGCCGATGGAATTGCTTGAGAAATGGCTTCATGAAGATTCCAAAGATTATTACTTTAGTGATATAATTGCAGATGAAAAGTTAAAGTGTGATCTTTTATGAAATTAGATATAAATATGGTCATCTTTTTTCTTCATTTTTTTTTTGTTTTGTTTTAGTAGTGAATAGAGCATATTTTGGGTTGATTTTTTAACCAATTTATCTTTGTAATTGAAAGAGATGTGTACCCTACAAAGATTAGAGGGTTCCAACAATAGGACTAATTAAATGAGTTTCTTTCTCCTTCCCTCCTAACCTCTCTTTTATCCTAGCCTGCGCGTATACACTTATAAATAATATTCGTTCCCGTTTGCAACTGATGTGAGATTTCATAATTCATCCACTCTTTGTAACTAGCATTCTCACTAGCACTTATTATCTCTCTAATCAATATGAGATCTCACAATCTATCCCCTTTCGTATCTAGCACCATCACTGTCACTCATTTCACTCTTCATTTGATGTGGGATCTCACAATTGGCCCCTTTGGTGGCCCGCGTCCTCATTGACACTCGTTTCTCTCTCCAATTGATGTGAGATCTTACCGTGTGTTTTTTAACTTCTTTTCAAAATTTAGAACATTATTGAAACTTTTGAAAGTCTAAAGGTATTTTTGAGGTAAAATATAAAAATTAAAAAAATATTTTTTTAATCCAACTAAAATTCAACCCTTCTTTTGTAGATTATTTTCAAAATACCCCTTCCAATGGGAAGCTAGTAGCAATTCCTACTTATCAAGTTGACGTGGTGTTTAAGTTTAACTGAAGGAGTCAACATTGAAAAAGTCAACTACAATGGTCCTATTAAGTACTATTATTTTTCTTCTCCATCCTTTCGTCAACATCTGAAAATGATCCTATTTTATCCCCAAAGTTTTTAAAAAATAAATAGTTATAATTTATCTCTTATTGCTTTGTCATTAATGCATGGTTTGTGTAATGTCTACTTAGTGATTAATTGGGTTATTGGTTGAAATCTAATTTGAATAAATTAGATTTAACTCAGCTAATTTCAACTCTTTCGAATTATGAATGAATAATGATTTTTTTAATTAGGTCTCGAATTTGTAATTTTGAAAACTTAATTTTCAAGATTTCTAGTTGATATACAAAAGCCCTAACTTGACATTGCCTGTCCTTCTTAGTTGAAAACGTTCGAAAACCAATGAAAAAAAATTTAAGCTTCCTTAGTAAAATTTGCTATTGATTAAATATGATCAACCCAAAATAAATTGGTTACAATTAAGTAAAACTCATTTCACTCTGAGAGTGAGGCTCAATTATCCACATTGGTCATGATTTTGATCCCTACTCGAGTATTGTGTGCGTGCTCGTCTAACCCCACTAGAGTATTTTGATCCCTACTCATGTATATTGTGTGCGTGCTCGTCTAACCCCACTAGAGTATTTTGATCCCTACTCATGTATATTGTGTGCGTGCTCGTCTAACCCCACTAGAGTATTTTGATCCTAGATACAAGTTTTTAATTCCTTCATATAAAATATTATTCTTGATTTGCAAATATGGAAAGTTAGAGATAAATATCGAAACTCTAAACGTTGAAAAATACAAAAACACTATAAAAAAAAAAAGGTTTAAAAACCAAAAATGATTTTAATTAAACCCAACATTTATTATAGTTATGTCCATAGGATTAGTCAACGTATGAGCTGTCGTGACAATTTTGTAATTTGTTAGGTCTATTCAAATCATTAATGAAAAATTGATTTAAGGGTTCATTTGTTGAAAGACGAAATTAAATCATTTATGAATTACAAAACCCAAAAATTTATTTTTCCAATAATATTTGGTATTTGTAATATCAACATCGATGATTAAATGTACACACATTTTGACTTATTTAAAAAACTTAATGCACAGAATATTTGGATGCTACCTTTTGAAGATGGAATAGAACTCAATGAAGAGTTTTTTAAAAATTCAAACTTGGATTTAATTGAATATCTATCTCGTTTTGAGTTTCTTTCCAAATAGTTTTATTTTCGAATATTTTTCTAATATCATATCGTGTTAGTTTGTGAGGATCATCTTAACGAACGTGTCTATGTTGCAGGAGAATGTCGGGCCCTTCAGGTGTTGCGTGTTGGTCTATGGGGATATAAATAGTCTATGTTAAGAATCACGGACCCCATAATGGTATAATATTATTCACTTTGATCATAAGCTTTTATGATTTTGTCTAAAATATAAGAGGTAGGACGTTACTTGAGTATTTTAAGAAATACTAATTATTGGGGTTGGTAATGCAAATGCACACTTATATGATGAGACTTATCCTTTAAAACCATAGCATGACCTTGAGATCTTTCCAGAGTAGAGTTGGATGTGTCATACTTTTCCATACACGACTCACACTCGCACACATGGATCAACCATGTGGGCTCGTATACATACCCCTAGGCTTGACTAAACACACTAACGTGTAGCTGGACACCACGAAAGGAAAAGACTTGCATGATATCATGGCGAACATAAATATCGAAGGTACATGTTCATACTAACATAACGTAACAAAAAAGTATCCTAGTACATGTAACATACATAAATGTACGAGGTCCCCACGGTTTAAAAATCATTTCCTCTTTCCCTTCATCCATGTCAAAGTTTACATGTGTCGTGTATACATAGCAATCATCATATAATCTATAACATGACAAAACATAACATAACATACATAATTTTTCATTTTGTCCATATCAAACAGAGTAGGACATCACATATATACATAACATGGCATCATACATCATCACATAACATGCATAACCACAACAAACTTGGACGGGACCATGCGTCATCATATATTAACAATTCAACCTCAAATTCATCATCTCGATGATATCAATTAAAACAAAAATAACTGCAAAGATGGGTCACCTTGTAGTCCAATTATTAAGGGTAAAAAAATATCTCCAATCAGTTTCAAGTGAGATATAAATAATTGAAATAAAATTAATAGCATAAAAATAGAAAAGAAAAGAAAGGCGTGTTAAATTTGAGAGAGTTGCCTAGATTTCAGTCAATTATGGAGAGTTTTGGAAAGTGTGGTAATTCTAAAATAAATATGGGATAGAAGTAATAAATACTTTGTCTCCCATTCATTGAATCAGAGTTTAGAAACTTTTGGCAAACACTTTGAACTTTCTGCTCAAAAGGTCTCTTAGCCGCACTGCCATGCTTTGAAGTTTTCCTGTTTTTGGTATGATATGATTCAGTGCAATAAGTGATCTAGAAAAATGGTCTCATTATTGCAACTGGAGGCTGCTGCTAAACTCTACTGCACAACAACATGAGCTTCCACTCTCATGGTTCACAAAATAACAATGTCTACTCCTTCCTTTCTCCTCTTAACCTCTTGAATCTAAGTACCTCTTTTATCAATTTTCCCATTCTTTGTAACTATGCTCTCTTCAAATTGGACCTCTTGCGTGACTTGGGATTTTGCTAATACTAACAACTATGATACACATTTTGAAAAAATACCATTCGCCGGTTACGTATAGCACTCATCCTCACGATTTTAAAACGTATCTATTGAGGTAGAGAAAAGTTTCCACACCCTTATAAGAAATGCTTCGTTCCCCCTCCAACACCCTCGTTCTCCAAAGGCTAATGTCTTTGCTGGCACATTATTTAGTGTCTGACTCTAAAACCATGTGTAACAGTTCCATGCCTAATGCTGGCAGATATTGTTTGTGGCTCGTCATGTATCGCCACAATCTCATGATTTTAAAACACGTCTATTAGAGATAGGTTTCCACGCCCTTATGAGGAATGTTTTGTTCTCGATCTCACAATTATCTTGATTAAGTTTTGTAGAACATTCATATATATATATTTGTAACGATCCATATTCAAGATTCAAACTTAAGATTTGGAATCCAAATTTAACATCTATGTGCCTGACATTCCCGTGCGACATGGTCACATTATTTACTTTTCTATTCTAAGAATGAAGACTATCCCTACAAACTAATACCAGTTCTTCCAATTGTTTAAACATTTAAATTGTCATAAGTAAATTACTTCTTAAAACATTTAAACCTTCTATTAAAAAATCATTTAATTATTTGACATAAAATTTAAATCGATTAACTTGTGAAAGTTTACGAGTTTGATCGATATAAATATAAATTTAAACACGTACCCGCTAACGTTTTTCAAATGAAATTTGATAAAGCATATAAAGTGATATAGTTATAAAAGGTTCCCAGTTTAAATTAAAACAATAATTAGTTTAGAGTTATTATTAATATTAATGCTCAAAATATATACCTTCTTTTAATTTATTTTTTTTTAAGAATTCTTTGAACACTTATGATTATTAACTTCTCAAATTATTTAACAGAGTACAATAATTGAAGCCATAATATAGTTTTAAAAATTGTATGGTTTAAATAATATAAACCATTAAAAACCTAACCCCCAATCATTTATGGTGTATTTATATATATTATCTTATGCTATAATTATTTCATCTTATTGGTCACAAGGATTCATATGGATCTCGATCTTATTAAGTGTAGCATGTGAACTAGTTATGCATTTATATTTAAATTATTCACCTCAAACACCCATTTTAAGTTCCTATCTTCTGCATTAAAATAATAAATCTATACTCATCAATTTTAAAATAAAGTTTTTTTTTTTTTTTTTTTTGTCGGTTTTGATCGAATTTCCCTCTACCAAAGATCTTTAAGTGATTATGAATTGCAAGTTAATATCTAAATACAAATTATTGTAATTGTGGAGTGGATTTTTTCCTTTTGCATTAAATAACCAAACTTTTTTTTGTTCTTAGGAAGTAAATTGTTAGGTTAATACAAGTTAGGGTAGTGGAATTAATTTCAAAGCGAAATAATTGATGAATTTAAGTGACATTATTTAGTAAAATTAATTGAGAAGAAAAGGACGTCCATTTTATATATAAATAAATAAATACATCACTTTATTATTGTTATTATTATTATTATTAATACTATTATGTTTAGGCATTATTATTGTTGTTATTATTGAGTTACGTGAGAGAAAATCCGTAGGGAGCATTTAATGGTTGAAGTGAAGTGGATGGTTTTAATTTTAAAAAATGTATATATTTGGAGAAAATCTTCCAACTGGAAACTCAGGATTTGGTTTTGACTTTGGGAGCTGAATTAGTCAACACCGACAACCTTCTTAAACCTCGTCAGTCTTCTAGGTTGCGTGGAGACTTGTTCCTTCTAGAACACTCTAGG